AACCCCTTATTCAGGACAAGAGTTGACCAAGGAGAGGAATGGGGAAATTATTGCAAACTGTCATTGAATTCAGGCAGCAGTAATCTACACAAGGCTGGTTAGCTTTCCCTTCAACTTTGATGAAAAAAATGGGAGATCCAATAGGGGAAGAGGATTTGCGAATAAATCCTTTAGCTAATTGAGTGTCTAAGTATGTTTGTAATTCTGCTTCTTCATCTTGAGACAGGAGGTAAGAATTACTGGTAGGTGGGATGCTATTTGATTTTAAATTAATTTCCATGTCATAACCAGGCTGTAGGGGTGGTAATTTGGAAGTATTCTGTGGGTTGAATACATCAGAAAATTCATGGAACTCCTTTGGGAGGAAGGAGAGGTCAAAAGTGGTATCTACAGAGGAAGAAGTCACAATGGGATACTTACCCATACCAGGAGTAGGTGACTCTATAGAGTCCTCTAGTTGCAGTGACAGACCTGCTCCTCCCACCCATCCTTGGTGAGATCTGCCACCAGTAATGGGGGACCAGCCAAAGGGTAAGAGATTGAGGTCAGAAAGTCAGAAGCTTCAGTCCATTGCAAGGAGGAAGCAGATTTGAGAAACACCACCTTAGCTTGTATAGTTGCCAGGGAGTAAGGGCAGGAGTGTTGACCATCCAGACCCTTGGTCCAGGGCCCCAAGCAACACATACAGATTTTTCTCATATGACATGCTTCTTTGAACTTTTGATGGGGGAAGGGGGATTCTGCCATGAGTGCATGGACATCAATTTCCATGGCATTAGGGTCCCTTGGGATGGGAACCAACTGCAAACAAGGGGGTGGTAAGGAAGAAACATGTAATGGGTGGTGGGACTGATGTTGACCCTGTCATTTGTCTAGTTGATCCAAGGCTAAGACTGCAATATCCTGCCTTTGATGAAGAGTATTAGCTGTAGCCCAATTGGTGCAACCTATGGCTTGATCTAAGATATGTGGATGAAGAGACTTCTTATAGAAGTTGATCAATACTGGCTCAGGCATATCACTGAGTAAAGAAGAAAGGGAGGTAAAGAGGGAATTAAATTCCCCAATCTTGCGATCTTGTTGACAGAGGGACTCAAGATCTTTCAAGGCATTCTCTGTAGCAAATTTGTCTTTGAATTCTAGGATGAGAGCTTTCATGAAATCATCAACTGAACATAAGGTAGGTAAAATGTAGGGCAGACTGGGAGCTTCAAATGGGTCATGAATTCCATGCAGTCACCACCAGCAAAAATTACTCAGACAAGGCTGTCCAAGGTGTTCTCAGACAGTGAAGTCTGAGTTGATCTCAGACCGTGGTTGACTGAGATTTTCTCATCTCAGTCAGCAGTAGTCCAAGCACACCAAGATGAGAAAATCTCAGTCAACCATGGTCCAAGATCAACTTGGACTTCACTGTCCAAGAACACCTCAGACAGCCTTGTCTGAGTAATTTTTGCTGGCAGTGAGTGAGGCATTTTGCTGGACCAGCTTCATCCACTATACTTGTGAGGTGGAACCCATTGGGGAGAAATGGCAGGAGATCCATGTCACATGTGAATGGTCATCTGCAAACTGTCCTCTGGATAGTGTATCTTTAATAAGATGTACAAAATTTAGTAGTTGTGAGTGCATCCCAGCAAAGGTCAGACCTGGGACTAGGGGTTCCAAGCGGTGAAGAGATGAAAGGGCCAAGTCCTTGATGATTGTTGGGAGCATGCGAGTCTGGTATTCTTCTATGTAGCCATGATTTGCCTCATAGATCTTCTGGAATGAAACAGCATTGTCAGAAAGGAGTTTGTTAAAAGCAGCAGCATGGGAATCATCTTGAGCCTTGAGTCTAGCTGCATGCTCAGCAAGTAGGTTATTGAACAATGCATTGATGTGATCCATTTGCTCAGAGACAAGCGTGGTGATGGACACCAATTTTGTATCTTCAAGAGCTTTAAGGCAGCTATTGACTTGCTTGATGCAAGAGTCAACTATGTGCTTTATTCTGGCATCAATAAGTTGCTCGAAACATGGGGTTAGAGAGTCCAGTGCAGCAATGCATGCATCAATGAGTTGCTCAAAGTGAGGAGTAAGAACATCGAGCACAGCAATGCACTCATCCATCATCCGTTCAAAATGCGGAGTAAGTTGAGCAAGAGTATTGACCAACTTGGGAGAGAGCGACATGATGTAGAAAGGTAGGAGAGGAGAGAGAGAGGAGAGAGCAGAGAGCAGAGAGGGAAAGAGGAAAACAGAAGAGGAGCAAGCGAAGGGGGAAATAGGTCCCCTTGGAACTACCAAAGGGTATGACGTCACCGACGCCACTGAGATATGTAGCAAGCAAGTGACAAATTGTAAGTGACAAAAACGAAAAAAGGTATACTACAAAAGAAAAAAAAGGACAAAAAGAGAAAAAAAAAAGAGAAAAAAAAGAGAAAAAATGGAAAAAAGGTTGAAACAGTAAAAAATTTGGGTAAAGGGAAAGAAAAAAAAGAAAAAGTGGAAAAAAACAGAAAAATGAAAAATGAAACTAGAAAACCCGGGTTAAAACTTGGGTAAAAAATGGGTAAAAAAGGTGAGAGGAGGGGTATGCCCTCTTATTGTATATGTGGAAAAGGAAGGATAAAGATATTTTCCTTTAATATAAATGAACTAGAGTAAAAAAAAAAAGAAATGATCAAAACATAATGTAAAGACTCTAGTACTAGGTCTCTTTACACACGCATGTTCGGGACATGTAAGTATGCTTATAGACACTTATCGATTTCGCGAGAAGGTAAGAAATGATGATTTATAATAACAAGATGTTTCGATGAGGAAACTAGAATACAATGCTAGGTGAAGATAATATATACATGATTGGTAACATCTACTAGGAACAATCATCTTCCCTAACAACTTTCTTTCTCCTAACTACAATCAAATTCGCGTTTAGCTGTCGCTACGTATCTATGTTTCTAACATCTACATAGCGATGGTAGGTTTTTGTGTAAGATAACGATTCATTACAGTAAGCGACAGTGCATGCGACAGTGCGAGCGACATGCAAGCCCCGCACTGGTGCTTGCACTGCAAGCGACAGCTAATTGCTACCAGTGTGACGGACGGTGAGAGGAGAGGCGAGTTGCATACCCATTGCGCAGTCACTGCGCAGCTGTATGAAAAGTTGATACAATCAGAATCTCCTCCTCTGACTTGAGATAGCACACGTTCGAATCGAGCCTCAGATGCCGTCAGAGAATGCGAGACACCACGCCTTCCTCACCCTCAAGAGGTTTGTTGAGCTTCAAAATACTCGGGGCTCTCTCCTCGAAGAATTTCAAAGCGCGATCGAGTCCGGTTTGTACCCATCGTCCACTAGTGTCAGTCCACCCGAAAGAGCCTTGAACGGCCAGGGCGGAGATAACACTCAAGCCCCAAATACACAACACAATCAACCGGTCTCGGCTTGTAGAAGTGCTCACGCTCAAACGGCGGAGAACACTGAGGAATACTTGCAACAGGTTGTGCCTTTGTCTAATTTTTAATGCTGGTTCGATCAGAGTCCTCTTGCTGAAACCGATCGGCACGTTCCTGACTGCGTTTATGTAACCTCGGGGGCGGTGGTCTACTGGAAACAGGTGATCGCTATATGCACTTCGGGATTTCGGGAAATCAAAACTGAAGCAGCGCTTTTAGTTCAATTGTTAAGAGAAGACCTTAAGCAGCCATCCCTTGCTGCTTTGATTGAAAAGGTTGAAGAACTGGAGGGACATAAAATGAACAGGGTGAACGTTCAACGTCCAACGCGCAACTTGACCTTGACTTTAGCCTTGACCTCATTCCCAACGCTTACTACCTCTTGTATCTCGGCATGTGAATCATTAGTGTTTACAACGGGACTTGCTTCGAAGGCGATCGATAATCGAACAACGCGATTACGCAAAAGAAATTCAACTTCATAACGATAGGTTTAGTTTATTGATAGTGTGCTTTTCTGGTCAACCTAAATTGACCATCTGTGCGTCTTTCTATAGCATTACAGCGACTTGCATCTCAATCACGGACACGATGGAAGAAATCAGAGCAGAAATGGCTGATTTAGCTGGCAATGATTCTAATGATCCTTGAAAGGAGTCAGCAACCGGTAAGTTATCATCCTAATTGCGCGTTGATAGAGAGCTTTGTGATCGAAGCTTTGTATGAGTCATTGATATTTTGCTCGTTCTTTCAATTTTGTCTTCTTAATTCTCATTCTCATCCCTTTCCTTCACTCCTCAATAGGGCTTTTGTGAACTTTTCACGCCTCCATCAATATCAAGTCTTCAAGGTGCTCCTTGAATTCTAATTATGCTCTTACTGGCATTTTTTTGGGGGGCTATTTTGAGGTCCATATCACTATGAAAATTGTCAGTGTTAGAACAAAAGCTTCAGCTACAGGATCCATAGCTTAATGGTTGTTCATTCATTCTGTGTTTCTTGTCACTGTTAGCTCAGTATACTTGTGTGGGATGTGAGGGTCCTACTCGACACAGGATGACCCAGATCTAACACAATAGGTCAATTTTTCAAGTCCCTTGGAAAGTCAATCTATTGTGTCAGATTTAGGAATTGGACCTATGCCCTATACCTTTCTTTTCTATTTTTCCCTGAAGATGAGGATGATGGGTAAGTGAGTGGGGACAAAGCTTCCAACTCCTTGAGTTTTTTTGTGGCCTCCCCTCTTAAGGCAGGTCTGATTTATTGTCTTGTTGTTTATTCCTGTTTCCATAGGCTGGAATTTTTTCCATCTCATTTCTGGTACTGTAATGATTTTGAAGCTAAGTTTTACCATCAGTTCCTTGTGTGACAACATTTAATTATTTTTCAACTCTTTTGGTAGCCCTGGTGGTAGATCCAAACTGTTAAATGTTGTCTTCCTTTCTTGCACAGATTGATTTCCTAATAGTCCTGAGATAAGGGGGTTGTGGCATCCTTCTTTGTTTTCTTGCATCCCTTACATGTTGTGTATATAGAGATGGTAAAGGTCACTATGTGTCTGATGGGATTCAAACCTGCAACTTCAGCATGATAGCCAAGACACATACCAGAGTGCTGCCTTTTACCACTAGGCTACAGACACTACAATGAAAATGTTGATGTTGACAGGGTCAGCATTGCCCTGACATTTACATATCCTGTGACTGTACATAGGTGTATGTCAAGGGCAATGTCAGCACACACATCAGCCAATTTAGTTTCTGATCCAATCCAAAATTTGTACTCTTTATATGTACCCATCCTCCTTGAATCACAATGTCTTCTATCCCAAACTCAAATGCAATTCCCCCTGAAATTCAAGCCATGATCTCTGTGGCTTTGGCTGCTCAAGCCCAAGTATATGAGGGAACAATCACTCAACTCAAAAGTCACCTTGACAATATGTCTATCCCTGCCACCACACCATCCAAGCCATCCACTGCATAATTAAGGTAGACTTTCAGTGGTCACAGTGCATGTCCACACTACAGTGACTTGCTGTGGGTGTACATCAGGATGCATGTCAACTGTACACATCACTTCCTGAAAACCAGCAAATGTCAGGGCAACACTGACCCTGTCAACATCAACATTTTCATTGTAGTGAGACACTTGTGACTGCTATAGGTGCTTCATATGTGTGTACATGTTCTCATGGAGTCAAGTTGACAGTTTCCTTATACTGTGGTGATACATCATGTAAGCATACAGTGGTTTACATCACAACATTTATGACACCTACAGCCTGAGATCCTACCAACACCCTGGAACTTCCATTGTTACAGCTTGTGTACCTCCTGTACCTTTTATGTACTAATGATAGGAACACCTTTAATGGATTTGTAGGTCTTGACTTTACCCTAAGCAACCTTGATGGTATCCACACAATGTTTGTCAGGGGGTGGCTTCTATTGGGCTACCACCTGGCTAGGGAAAAAGGGAGGATTAGTCTAGGAACTTAGCCCTTTCAAGGAAGTAGTCCTAACTAGCAGTCTGGGGATTCCCCCAAGCACTGACTACAGTTAGTTGACCTTTGGTGAAAGGGTTTCTGTTCTTTATAAGAGGACCTCTTAATGGAGGATTCTGAATTCTTACTAGAATTCCTTTGAACTATGGTATAGAGAGGAGCTGCTGTAGTTAGGCCTAATCTAACTACCTGTGGCTCTACTCTCTCTTAATGTTCAACAGCAGGCTTTTTGCTGTTTATAGGTGGTTTACTCTAACTCTTGTAGTTCAGGGGACAAGAGGTTATCAAGCCAAGGTTACCAACCTTATGTATGACCCTTATTTACTTCCACCTAGTACACAGTGCACTATTGAGCAGATATCTTATTATTATAAGAATCCTCAATGTTGTGCTTATTGTGTAAATTGGTGTTGTGGTAAAAGGTGGGGAGAAAGGAATTCTAGCTGAGCAAGAGGGGAGTTTATATACCTTTCAGGTTACTTCCTGCACACTTTTAGGATGTGGGTTGACTTGTGGTTTTAGCTGATGCTATTACCTAGTTACTTGGGTCAGCTTGTGTGAATGTTCTTGGAACACACTTCCTGCTGTACACTGATATGGTTATGAAGATTGAGGTATAAGTCCTCTATGTGCTCCTCACTGCCAAGATATTTGTATCGGATGGGCCTATCCGATGTTCTATCACCCCGAGATATGCGATGCAGTGTCAGTAGGATTAGGTGCGATGGAATTACA